CACTATCTGGGCGCCTTATAGAATGCTTAACATATTCTTTAATGTCGTGCTATACGTAATAAAACACTTCTTCAAAACAATAAAATACTTCTGAATTTAAGGCTGTATAATTTTTTTCTTTACCCCTTAAACGCGATTAGGTTCTGAGGGGTCATTGTTTTCGATGAAAATGAAAGATGGAAAATATACTGAAAACGTTCCATTTAATTTTCTCGAATCCCACAAGACTTAATGAGAAAAGTACCGGACATATTTGTGCTTTGTTTTTCTCTATAACGTTTGTCTGAAACATGTTTCTCCCCAATGAATATTTAATGAAATAAAAGTAAGATGTAAGTCTAAGTCATCGTTAAACATGGCTGGCATGCACGAAAGTTGAAATTGCTCCGCAATTCTTCGAAAAATGTTGTAGTGTCAAATTTAATGGAAATCCGTCTAGCGGTTCTGGAACTGGAAGACGCGGAGAGCAGCCCAACATCCGCTCATTTCATGCGCCTAGCGCGAAGAACGCAAAATATAATGAGAATAATCGATTGCGAAGCGGCGCAAACGGCCCGAAGACACGGAACAGACAGTCCAGGGGAAACGAGCAGACTAGAAATCGGCTTCAAATAATTGCTGTGCTGTTCGCATGTGTTCAGGGTGTAAGACTGTAAGCGTGTGTATATCTAGGCTTCATGTATACATCAGCATATGTTTGCAGGTCCATGTTCTAGAAACCATTTGTCATAAACTACTTATAAGGCAGACGAACGAGGAAAGCACGTAACGTCATTTCAGACACAGAGCTAAAGGGAAGATTCTTGCAAAACGTAGAGCATGTTTCCGCTTAGCACGAATTAAACGTGTTCTAAATTTTCTTAAAAACGTTCAAGGTGTATGAAATATAAACCTACCCATGTAACAGGCCGTGAAGGTCCATAAGGTTGTGAGACGTCGAGGCTCCCACATTCTCTCTAGGCAATCGGCTCACAGATGGCTGTGAAGCTGTCAGCCTTACGCGCTGGCCGCCCTTTACCCCCAGGAAGATTCCTGGTACTCATTTCTGTTAGAGACTGAGTTGACCTCAGGGTCATAGTGCCGCTGGAAGGGTTCCGTACATTGGAAAAAAAATCCACATCATAGGGACTCGAAACCGCGACTTTCTGGCCTGTAGCACAGTGCCTCAACCAAGTATGCTACAGGAGCTAGATAAATCCAATCCATACCGTCCCATCCTATCTCTATAATATTCATTTTAATATTGTCAACCCACCTACGTCTTGGACTTCCTATATCCTATATGCATACTTCTTCTCCCCCATTCGTGCTACATGCTCTGTCCGTCTCATCCTCTTGGATTTGATCATTCTAATTATACTTGGATAAGAGTACAAGTTATGAAGCTCCTCATTATGCAGTTTTCTCCAACCTCCTGTCACTTCATCTCTCTTTGGTCCAAATATTCTCCTAAACACCGTGTTCTCAAACACCCTCAGTCTATGTTCCTCCCTTAATATCAGAGAGCAAGTTCTACACCCATACAGCGGGTGTTTTATGTGTTTAGACAGCAGGCGGGAAGACAAAAATTCTGGACTCAGGGGTAGGAAGCGTTACCCGAATTCAATGTCATCTTAATTTAATTTCTGAAGAAGACTAGATATAAATTCGTGTTTCATTTTTATACAATTTTTATTATCAGTTTATTTTACTCAAATAAATATTTTATGAACTACTCTCTAGAGCAGGCATGTCAAACTCAACTTGTACAGAGGGCCACCTCAGCCCTATAAATAATAACCTAGGGCCGCACTTCAAAATAAAAATATACATTAGATTTTGATACAAGGAAATTTAATTCTATTTATTATTTAGGAATAATTTCAATATAATTACCTAAAGAGGAACACTTATATTTTGCCCACAAATCAGACATGTAATTTTACCTTCTATTTCACAACAGAAATAAGCGATTTCCCATTTTTCTTGAAAAACAAGGCGCTCACTTTCAATGGTTCTTTTTTTGCTACTTGAATTTTTTGAAGGTGACATTGCCGTTTAAAAGTTACTGTACATATACAAGAAAACTCGTAGTTGATAATTTATGTTTAATTATAACATTTATACGTTCATCACAATGTAACATCAGCACCTGTCGCTGTGTGAAAATGTACTGATTGACAATGTACAAGACACTACCGGACTTGTAGGAAGGTGTATCTTGTCTCAATGGTCATAAAAGTGAAAGTATGCTAGAAGCCCATTAGACAATGACTGTGGGTTGCAAGTTAATTTTGAAGGTAGAAATCCCTTGCACTTGTCTGACAGTTGCCACCCTCCTTGCATTCTTACTATGCCTCCAAAAGGGATTCTTGGGAATACTTGGGGTGGTGAGGCTGTGCGGACTTCAGTGCATTAACCTTCTGAAATACAATAGTTTGTCCTTCACGAACTTTAAAAAACCGTTAGTTGGACAAACCCTTCTGCAATTCTCAGAATCACTTTTCCTGCAGCCTGCTAATTTATGTCTGCGTGAGACTTCTTGTCTTCTGGTCTGTTGGAAAATTGTCTTTACAAGTATATTTCTACTAAAATTTTAATATTGATTTTAGTATCAATTAGCTCTAAAAGTTGAGAGGCCGCACTTTGTGGCTATGGGGGGCGCACGTTTGACACGGCTGCTCTAGAGTCTCAGGGGGAAAAAAACGTGTAGGCCGTCATATAAAATTTAAGTTATTTGTATCCGAATTTTAACTAAGAATTTTAAACTGTAACATTCTGGTAAAACCGCCTAGTAACAAATTTCTTGTAAATCCAGAAATGTTACATAAAGACACAGACATACTAGTACCCGCCCACACGTTTTTATAATTTCTCGTTGCGCCCGCACCCAAAACTTTGTGACGACACGAACATGAAATCGTGAAAGATTCCCTCCGAGTATTTAAACCCGGAGTTCAGATTCCAGGGACCCCCTCTGTGGTCTAGGGGTCAGAGTTCCTGGCTACAGATCCAAGGGTTTCCGGGTTGAATTCCCGACGCTACCAAATTTTCTGAGAAGTAGTAGGCCTGGAACAGGGTCCACTCACCCTCATTAGGATAATTGAGGAGCTATTTCAAGGAAATAGCGGCTCCGGTCTAGAAAACTGAAATTAACGGCCGTGGGGATTCGTTGCGCTGACCACGCGACACCCTCTATCCGCAAAAGTTGGCACTAACTTCGCCGACAAGCGGCGGTCGCTCGGTCGGTATAGTTCGCTTGTGGACTACAGGCCACGGAGTTTGTATTTTTTTAAGTAAATGTCTTTACTCAAAGCAGGTCATCAGCCTGTAGCAACCCCCTTATCTTGGAGGGCCAGGGTTTTTATTCAGGGTTGCCCTCCCTTACACAGGTTGCCTACCGGGGCTAACGAGTCCTGTCTACCCGCCACGTAACTCTGGGAAGGGGCCCATACCGGGCGCTACCCACCGGGCTAGTGGGACCTGGGACTCGCATAAGGCAGGGTCGCCAGTCCCTGTAGTTGGGCTGTCTCTTATGACAGTTCCAACTTGCTACCTTATCAGTATCTTGTTAAGGATTGCAAGTTCATCATTGCTTACCAATTTTTCATAAGCCATAAAAAATTTGGGCACAGAAATAAAGAAGCAGGCATATAGGCCTCTGTAGCTGTTTCAGGAGCACTCTTGTACTTGTATCTGGTCCAAAAATTGCATGTATGTGAAAAGAGCCGGATTGTTTGGGTTGTTTCCGTATTGGTGGATCAGTGAATGGCGCAGAGTCCTTTTTTATAACCAGCTAGTTGCTCAGCTACTCTAGAATTGATCGACGTTTTATGGAACCCGAAATTTCATTACCGTGTTCACAAGAACCCTCCACAGGTCTCTATTCTAAGCCAGATCAATTAAGTTCATATCATCCCATCCAATCCATCTTCATATTATCCTCCCACATGCATCTAGATCATCCTAGAAGTCTCTTTCCTTCTGGCATTCCTACCAAAATCCTACATGTATTCCTCTTCTACGCCCATTGCGTTTTACATGCCCTGCCCATCTCATCCTCATTCAATTTAACGTTCCAATTATAATATTATATTTAAGCATCCTGTTGCACTCCATGCGATAAATGATATAATGATACAAATTCCGTCCCAAGTGCAGTAGCACACGTAGTAAAGAATAACAGCGGCACGCACACAGGAAGACTGCACAGGGTAACATCTATACAGTGTAGGAACAAGAACTAGCCGCTGCAGCACTTTAGACATAGAGCGAGTAACCCTAACAATTTTAAATTTAAAATTTAGAGAAAAATTTTAAAGGATTTTAAAATTAGAACTAAAGATTTTATAGTGCTACTACAGGTAAGTCAAAATTAACGTGTGTAAAATAATCTACAAACCGGACAGATATCAACGAAGTAAATGTTGATAATAACAAGGAAAGTGTTTTAAATGTTAAATTTTGGGCTGGGTGCAGTGTGACAGCGACGTGAGTGTTATACACCTGATGATGGCAGTCTGAGGCCGAAACATGTAGTGTAGAGGAACAAGATCAAGGACACATAATATATTGTTTGCACTTGGGACGGAAGTTCCAATTATATCTGGCGGCCGCCTCAGTGGTCTAATAGTCAAGAGGTCCTGGCTACAGATAGAAAGGTTCCGGGTTCGATTCCCGGCGCTACCAGATTTTCTGATAAGTAGGTCAAGAACGGGGTCTGCTCGGCCTCGTAAGGATAACTGAGAAGATATTTCAAGGAAATAGCGGCTCCGGTCTATAAAATCGAGATTAATGGCCGTGGGGATTCGTTGTGCTGACCACGCGACACCCTCTATCCGCTAAAGTTGGCACTAACTTTGCCGACAAGCGGCGGTTCCTCGGTCAGTATAGTTCGTTTGCGGACTACAGGCTACGGAGTATTTTTATTTATATCTGGCGAAGAGTGCAAATTTTAAGCTCCTCTTTATGAAATTTTTAATGGAATGCTACGATCTGAAAATCGTTCTTTCTCTCTTCAGGTTATGTCTACACACCGAAGGAAGCGCGGATACAGAAGGCTCTTCGGGCAGAGATCCGCGACTTGAAAGGCGTGAATCCCAGGGGCCATAAGCCGACATCTCTGGCAGGTACCATCTCCAGCCGGCAAGGCTCCCAACACCAGCAGTGGGGTAACAAGGTCCACCATCAGCCCTTCCAGCCTGGGGTCACTGTGAAACAGGCCCGCAGTCGTCATAATCCTGTATCCTCAAGAGTAAGTCATCACACACCACACACGGTGAATTTATCTGAAATACTGTCATTATTCAACAATCACCCCTTATTATTTTTTGTTTCTTGGGGTGGGGTGAGGCTGGCTCCACTGGGTACGTCGGCAACTGATTGGCTTATTGTACCAGCTCCAAATGATAGATGATAAGCGTGGGGCAGTTGGTAGGTTGATAACTGGCGGGGAAAACAGAAGTACTCGGAGGAAACCTACCTTAGTGCCACTTTGTTCACCACAAATCCTACAACTAAGCCGGGAAGCCGCGGTGGGTAGCCGGCGACTAACAACCTGTGCTATGTAACGTACATGATGACCCCTTTAAAAGAACATATTGCTTTGGCATGGATTGCTTTTGTGGCATTTCAGGGTAATTCAGAAAGCGCACTTATTCCCAACCAGTGACCATACCTGATCTTTACCAAACCCCGTTTAAGAAGGCCTTCTCACAACCGTAATTCCTTTTCCCAGCTTCTGGTGTGACTAAAATGGTACAATAGTCCAGAAGTGTCCGCAGTACAAGGGACTTACTCCCACCCCACTAGCAATAAAAAAAAACACAGACTACATAACTGAGACCACTCCTCTCCCCGAAAAAAAAGAAAAGAAGCTCCGTGGCTTTAGTCCGCAAGCGGAATATACCGACCGAGCGACCGGCATTTGTCGACGAAGTTAGTGCCAAATTTAGCGGATAGAGGGTGTCGCGTGTTCAGCGTAACGGATCCCCACGGCTGTTAATCTCGGTTTTCTAGACCGGAGCCGCTATTTCCTTGAAATAGCTTCTCAGTTATCCTCACGAGGCTGAGTGGACCCCGTTCCAGACCTACTGCTTCTCAGAAAGTCTGGTAGAGCCGGGAATCGAACCCGGGACCTCTGGATCTGTAGCCAGGAACTCTGACCACTACTCTTCTCACCAAGAGATTTTAAAACCAACAGACCAGTAATACAATGCATATAGTACAATGCAAATATGTACATGTCTATGTTTTATTTAATTAACACTTGACTGAATTTGCCTGTTGCTCCACCATTCATGTGAAGTAATAAGATAAGGTAAAGTTGTTCCCGTGCCCAGTTATCAAGCGCCACACCATGACGATATACGAAGGAATGGAGGTACAGTTCCACACGTTTTGACCTCTGCACTAGATGGGGTGAGTGACTAGGTTCACGCCTCACACCTTCTCCCTCTAATAAGCCAAAATTTAAAAATATTTTTAAAAAGTTGTCAGAGACTAAATCAACAGGACTTCGTTTCATCAGGCATAGTTAAATATGTATACATTATTTTATTCATGTTTAAAATTGAAGTGTAACGGCGAAGTGACTTTTCTAGGAGTTCGCCCTCATGCCACAGGATCCCCCAAACGACGGTGTTACAGGCGAGCGCTAACTGTAGAGCGCGATAACAAATGGCGTTGCTAACGCTAATTGAGAAGTTAGGAGTAAAGCGTGCGTACGTTACATTAAATTGAACGCTGAGAGATGCCGAACCCGCGAATGCTATGGCAATAGGTTAATGGCAGAGTGGTCTCTTGGATAGATGCTACAGGCATGCGTATCTGCGCATGAGCATTGCTATAGTATAAAATCTAGTCTGGATAAATTTGTTGATGACGGAGGGATCATGTACTCGTATTAGAAATAAAATTTGCTTTCTTGCATAACGGATCAGCAAGCTACTTATATACAGTGTTAAGAGAGGTATGTTTATGTTAATGTGTCCGTATTTGTGTGTGTATCCAACCGAAATCATCTGGATCAAGACACTAAAGTTCTGAAAAACACTACAAAACACTTTTTTCAACATTTCTATTAAAATAGTCCCTGTTTTTTTCCCCCACTAATTTCCAAGAATAAGTAGGTTTGTCGAAATCTGCTTTGAATTTTATGGCCATTAGAATTTGCAAGAAGTTCCCACGTCATTTATGAACTGGGTACTCAGATGTAATTGCGGAATTTTACATCAACCTTTATTGTAAAAATTACTACGTATCAAATAGATGGAAGAATATTCAAACCCCCATTTGCAAGGTTCATTTCGTAATTATAAGTTTATTTTGCCTCGTTGCTTCAGACAGAAATGTATTTCAGATTATTCGATCACAGTTCATAACAACTACATTAGTTTTAATATGGATTATTGTGGGTTAATGCCCTCTAGTTATGCAGATTTAAAACAGTGATTTTACGCTCCACACTATTATGACATGGCGTATTATATAACATACGTCATCAATGGGATTTGGAGAACCATCAAGAGATACCATGGGACATTTGTCTGGTTCATATTTGCTGGGCGAATACATTAATTATAGGCTAGCGCTTTATTTGGGTTATAATTCCTATGTGGGATTTATTGCAACTTCGGAGTGTGGTATTGAACTGTGTAGAGTGACGCATAAGGCAAAATAGCCATTTGTATTTATTGCATAATAATTACAGGTTACTTGATTTAATATAATCCAGATTTCCGACGTGCCCCTGGTTCGATTCTCGTTAATAAGCAAGTCAATTAGTCAGTTTTTTTTAAAACTTATGGAGTTTGAAATCGCAATGGCGGTAAATGTGAAGAGTAGCGTAGTCGCACCTCAGAACATGGTATAAAAATGTAAAGGTATGCCTGTAACAAGCCGTGGAGGCCCATATGGTTGTGAGACGTCGAGGCTCCCACATTTTCTCTAGATAATCGGCTCGCAGATGGCGGGGAGGTAGTCAGCCTTACGCGCCGGCCGCTCTTTAACCCCAGGAAGATTCCTGGTACTCATTTCTGTTAGAGGTTGAGTCGACCCAAAGGTCATTGTGCGGCTGGAAGGATTAGGTCAATTAAAAAAAAATCCACTTCATCGGGTCTCGAACCCGCGACCTTCCAGCTTATAGCATAGTGCCTCAATGAACTACGCTACCGCGTGTCCCAAGAACATGGTATTCCCCTCTGAAATTCGCTAAAATTCATATGTATTAATAATAATTTCAGTGACGTTGAATGACAGGATATGTGAATAATGAACCGAAATGGATACCGAAGGAAGTGGCCAAGACTTAATTTGAGGTATTGTACCGGAATGTGCTTGGAGGAACTGAGAAAAACCACCAACAAATGTGAAGTCAGGAGAGCAGATCTTCCGTTAAGATTTTCACTCGGTATCTTTGGAACAAGAACTACAAATCCTAACACCAGTTTGTGATGTTCGGCAGCTGTTTCGAAGTAAATTAATTAATTAATAGACGGTTGAATAATTTATTTTAAAATCTGGCCATTTTGTGATTATTTCATTCAAAATATTTCACGAAAGTTGAAATGTTATTCAGATTCACAAAACCCTTCGTTAGAACTGACTTTTCTTAAATAAATTGCTGATTAAAGGGGAAATCTTCCCGGTGACGAACTTGCAGTAATTTCAAGGCAGCGCATACTTGGGTTCGTCTGTGTGATTAACCCTGAGACGCCGGTCTGTTGCACTGAATGTGGTACCTAGCCCCTATCTTAACTATACAGTTCTCCGTGGATTTATTTTCCGTCCAGAGCTAGAAAATAATTACATTTTTTACAATTTCACTTCAGGTAGCTACTGAAAGAAGCTATGATATACAAGTGGGTTTACTGGGAACAAGAATACGATATAGAAATACAATTTATCTTCAGTATTAAGTAAGATATTGTCACGATTTAGAGGTTTGCGCGTGACCTTTAAGACGGGTTCCGGATAGGATGATTGGATTTACTGACGCCTCATTCTACACAACTCGAGACTGAAGGTAATACAGCGCTGTAGCTGATTTACACACACATTACAATTGACCGCTGCACACACACTATGGTTCTCAATATTCACTAGTCGTACCCTGGCAACGGATTTAAAACAGTCTCACTATCACTTAAAATCATATGTGAAGTCTTCGTTTCACAGCCTAATTCCTTTCTTGCCATTATTCTGCAATTGCCAATTCCGAGAACTCAACTCAATTCAATTCGTCTGCTCCCAAGCTCATATCCTGGCAGGCTGGCGTCTCGAAACGCGACTCTTCACTTCTCTCGATTATTGCTCTACTATCCTGCTCTATGTCAAAGTCAGAGTCAAAGTCACATTGCGACTGACGGTCAGTCAGTCAGCAAGTCTTGGTGTCGAGTCACATCTGAGGATCATGACCAGACATTTATTACTGTTTGGCAGTTACGGTCTTGTTTTTCTGGGACACCCTCTCTGACGAGAGGACGGGTTCTGTACTGGTGGTCCCTGTCGGCACAGTCTTTCTCAACTCCGAGTCCCTTGGGACTCGCGACCATATTTTGCTGCCTCAGATTTGAGTTTTCCCTTTTCGTCGCCTCCTACGACTCGCAGGGTCACGGTGGAGGTATTCGACCCCGCCTGCACACGGGTATCCTGCTCTATGCTGCCGAATACTTTGCACTTTGCACGGACCCTACAGAAAACATAGCCTCTATTGTTAAGGACGTGTGTTCACTGATCCGCTACCTATCAATAGAAGTCCTCTTCTTGTGCTCATTGGCTCGCACGGCTAGGTGTTTACCGAGTCGTTGCCTAGCAATGGACATACACATCAGAGAATCCTCATGCATCTAACAGCTTAATCTCTGTGGGGAAAATTTCCATTAAAAGTTGTTTTGCTTAATTTTGCGACGCTTTGTTAAACTTGTAGGATTGTGAAGGATTGTGACTGTGAAGGAAGGTGAAATAAGTGTTATAGCGTTTTATAGGTTACTGTACCAACACTGACGTAGAATCGCGGGAATCACAGCGAGTGCCACGGGTCTCAGGACCCTGACGCTATGATATGAAGCACAGATGTAACCACTACAGCGCGGTTTTGGTTTTATGGATTCATCACCGAAGACTTGCATGTCTGAATACAATTTTACCATTAACGAATTCAATTTTACGGTAACCATTATACCAAGTAAGAAATGTACATACAGTGTAGCAACAGCTGCGCTCTCACGCTCGAAGAAGTTCGATTCTTTAAAT